TCCCCTGGAATTCCCCCCAGAACTCCCCTCAAACCCTCCCTTCCCTTCCCTTCCCAAACCTTTCCTGGAATTCCCCCTCCTTTTCCCGGGAATTCCCCCTCCTTTTCCCGGGATTTCTCCCGCCCTCTCTGCCGTGGTTCCCGCTCGTTTTCTTCCCTAACTCCCGGAATTTTCCGGAATTTTCCGTTTCCCAGAAGAAGGACCCGGCGCAGTTCCTGCAGGTGCACGGCCGGGCCTGCAAGGTGCACCTGGACTCTGCCGTGGCCCTGGCAGCCGAGAGCCCCGTCAACATGTGAGCCCGGAGCGGGAATTCCCGCCCGGAATTCCGGGGGAACGTCCCCGGGATCGGCCCCGGGGGCTGCAGAAATCCCGGGATTCCCAGGGGCCGGAATTCGGGCAAATCCGGGGGGGTTTGGAGCCGCCGCTCCCGATTTTTGGGGATGGGAAAGGGGGAATTTCGCTCATTTTTGGGATAAATTTTGTGGAATTATTTCTGGAATGTTCCTTGGATCGCTCTCCCATGCCTGGAGAAATCCTGGGATTCCCAAGGGTTGGAATTCGGGCAAATCCGGGGGGGTTTGGAGCCACTGCTCCCGATTTTTGGGGATGGGAAAGGGGGGATTTGGGTCATTTTGGGGATAAATTTCATGGAATTAATTCTAGAATGTTCCTGGGATCGCCCCTCGGAGCTGCAGAAATCCTGGGATTCCCAAGGGTTGGAATTTGGGTGGTTTTGGGCAAATCCGGGGGGGTTTGGAGCCGCCGCTCCCGTTTTTTGGGGATGGGAAAGGGGAATTGCGCTCATTTTGGGGATAAATTTCGTGGAATTATTTCTGGAATGTTCCCTGGATCGCTCTCCCATGCCTGGAGAAATCCTGGGATTCCCAAGGGTTGGAATTTGGGCGGTTTCGAGCAAATCCAGGGAGAATTGAGGTTTTTTTTGGAGTCATTTCCCATTTTTTGGCTGATGGAAAGGAGGAATCCTGCTCGTCCCAGCCGGAAAATTCCACGGAATCCCTGGAATCGCCCCCAGGCCTCGACAAATCCCAGTTCTCCCAGGAAACAAAAATCAACTTTTAATTCTAAAAATTTAATTTTTAATTCTAAAAAAACTTGATTTTTAATTTTAAAAAAATTGATTTTTAGTTTTAAAAATTCGATTTTTGACTTTAAAAATTTAACTTTTTTTTAACCCATCCAGCCAAAAATAATTCAGTTTTTTTGGGGGGTGGGGAGGAGCCGCTTTTCCCGTTTATCTTGGGGTTTTTTTCCTGAAGGAAAGGAGGAAAATTCTGTCGAAATCCGGGATTTTTCCCAATTTTTCCCGGCAGGATGCCCTGGCAGGGGGACACCAACAACATGATCGACAGGTTCGACGTGCGGGCTCACCTGGATTTCATCCCCATGTACACCCCGGCCCTGCTCAGCCCCACGTAAGATTCCCAACAAAATTCCCAAGGAATTCCCGACCCTTTGGAAATCTGGGGGGGATTCCTAAAAAAATCCGGGTTTGGGAGCCGAAATTCCCATTTGGAGCCGTAAAATCCCTGTTTTGCTCCCCAAAATCCTCCTTTTTCCCCCCCAAATCCAGCTTTTTTTACCACAAAATCCTCATTTGATCCCTAAAATCCACCTTTAACCCCCAAAATCCCTGTTCTGATCCCAAAATCCCCTCAGAAATCCCATTTTTCCAGCTCACCAGAGCAGGAATCCGACGATCGCAAACGCAGCTGCAATCGGGAAGCTCCCTAAAAACCCCTCATTTTTCCCCCCCCAAATCCAATTTTTTTTCCCCCAAATCCCCCTTTGGACTCCAAAATCCAGCTTTAACCCCCAAAATCCCCGTTTTGATCCCAAAATCCCCTCAGAATTCCCGTTTTTCAGCTCACCGGAGCAGGAGTCAGACGAGCGCAAATGTAACTACGAGCGGTACCGGGGCCTGGTGCAGAACGACTTCGCTGGCAGTGAGTCCCTTTTTCCCGGTTTTGTTTTTTGGGAATTCCGGCCCCTCCGGCTGCCCTGGGGGAGGTTCCCGAGGGATTTTGGGAATGATTTCATCCCGGAATTCCCGATCCCAGTCTCGGAGGAGCAGTGCCTGTACCAGATCTACATCGATGAGCTCTATGGCGGCCTGCAGAAACCCAACGAGGATGAGAAGAAAAAGTGAGGGAGAAAAGTCGGAATTTCTGGGAATTTCGGGTGGGAAAACATCGGGAATGCAGCCCCACACCCTTGGGAATGATCCCAGCTCTGGGATAACCCCACCAGTCCCAGTTTTCCCCTCACTCCTTTGCTGGGATCTCCCCCAAAACCGTCCTGGGAAGGGCTCCTGGTTTTGCTTGGGGTTCTGGCTTGGGAATTCCCATTTTCCCTCAGAATTCCCCCTCAGAACTCCCATTTTCCCTCAGAATTCCCATTTTCCCCTCACAGTTCCAACTCAGAACTCCCATTTTCCCTCAGAATTCCCATTTTCCCCTCAGAATTCCAACTCAGGCCTCCCATTTTCCCTCAGGCCTCCCATTTTCCCTCAGAATTCCCATTCTCCCTCAGAATTCTATCTCAGAACTGAATTCCAACTCAGGCCTCCCATTTTCCCTCAGGCCTCCCATTTTCCCTCAGAATTCCCATTCTCCCTCAGAATTCTATCTCAGAACTCCCTTTTTCCCTCAGAGTTCCCATTTTCCCTCAGAATTCCACCTCAGAACTCCCATTTTCCCTCAGAATTCCCATTTTCCTTTCAGAATTCCCCCTCAGAATTCCCATTCCCCCTCAGGCCTCCCATATCCCCTCAGAACTCCCATTTTCCCTCAGAATTCCCATTTTCCCTCAGAATTCCCATTTTCCTCTCAGAATTCCCCCTCAGAACTCCCTTTTTCCCTCAGAATTCCCATTTTCCCTCAGAATTCCCCCTCAGAATTCCCATTTCCCCTCAGAACTCCCATTTTCCCTCAGAATTCCCCTTTCCCCTCAGAATTCCCCCTCAGAATTCCCATTTCCCCTCAGAACTCCCCTTTCCCCTCAGAATTCCCCCTCAGAATTCCCATTCCCCCTCAGAATTCCCATTTCCCCTCAGAACTCCCATTTTCCCTCAGAATTCCCATTTTCCCCTCAGAATTCCCATTTTCCCCTCAGAATTCCCATTTTCCCCTCAGAATTCCCATTTTCCCTCAGAATTCCCCCTCAGAATTCCCATTTCCCCTCAGAACTCCCATTCCCCTCAGAACTCCCATTTTCCCTCAGAATTCCCATTTTCCCTCAGAATTCCACCTCAGAACTCCCATTTTCCCTCAGAATTCCCATTTTCCTTTCAGAATTCCCCTTCAGAACTCCCTTTTTCCCTCAGAATTCCCATTTTCCTTTCAGAATTCCCCTTCAGAATTCCCATTTCCCCTCAGAACTCCCCTTTCCTCTCAGAATTCCCCCTCAGAATTCCCATTTCCCCTCAGAATTCCCATTTTCCCTCAGAATTCCCATTTTCCCCTCAGAATTCCCCCTCAGAATTCCCATTTTCCCCTCAGAATTCCCATTTTCCCCTCAGAATTCCCATTTCCCCTCAGAATTCCCATTCCCCCTCAGAACTCCCATTCCCCCTCAGAACTCCCATTTCCCCTCAGAATTTTCCCCTCAGAACTCCCATTTTCCCCTCAGAATTTCCCCTCAGAACTCCCATTTTCCCCTCCGAGGGAAATCCGGGGCGGCCTCTTCGGCTTCTCCTCATTCCCGAGGGAATCTCCCGGTGGGAAAAAAACCCCTCAGAAACCCCGGGATGGAGGGATTTGTGTCCCCAAAACTCCCCAGGCTGGCGGAAAAAAAGGCTTCCATAGGCTACACCTACGAGGACAGCACCGTGGAGGAGCTGGAAAATTCCCTGGAAAAGCGAGGCGGGGACGAGGAAGACTCCGAGGAAGATTCCAACACGGACGAGGACGAAGTGATCCCGGATATCGGTAAGGGGATATTCCCGGCTCTGGGAACGGCGCTCGGGCCGCGTCGTTCCGGCCGGAACTCCGGGATTTTCCCGGTTTCTTTCTTTCCCCAGATGTGGAAGTGGACGTGGATGAGCTGAACCAGGAGCAAGTGGCCGACCTGAACAAGCAGGCCACGACCTACGGCATGGCCGAGGGGGATTTCGTCAGGTAAATCCCGGAAAAAAGCTCGGGAAAAGCCGGGATCCTCCCCCAAAACCATCCCGGGGATGGGGGCTCCTGCTTTTCCTTGGAATTTTGGCTTAGAAATCCCATTTTTCTTCAAGATTCTCTCCTAAAAACCACATTTTTCCTTGGGATTTTGGCTCAGGAATCCCATTTTTCTTTGGGATTCTCTCCTAAAAATCACATTTTTCCTTGGGATCTTTGCTCAGGAATCACATTTTTCCCTGGATTCTCCTGAGAACCCTGTTTTCCCTTGGGATTTTGGCTCAGAAATCTCGGTTTTTCTTGGGGATTCTCTCCTGGAAATCCCATTTTTCCTTGGGAATTCTCCCTTTTTTTCCAGACTTATCCTTTTCCCTGAGATTCTCCTGTGAAAATCCCATTTTTCCCTTGAAATTCTGCCTTAAAAATCCCATTTTTCCCTTGAAATTCTGCCTTAAAAATCCCATTTTTCCCTGAAATTTGCCTCAGGGCTCCCCCTTTTCCTGGGAATTCCGGATCTCTCTGAAATCCCGCCCTGATCCCGCTTTTTTTTATTTTTCCCCTGGAAAAAGGATGCTGAGGAAGGACAAGGAAGAGGCCGAAGCCATCAAGAACGCCAAAGCCTTGGAGGAGGAGAAGGCCATGTACTCGGTGAGGGAAAAACCCAGGAAAAAAACGGGAATTTCCCCTTGGAAAAATCCCCCAAAAAAATCCAACCCTTCCCCCAGGGCCGCCGCTCCCGCCGGCAGCGCCGGGAATTCCGGGAGAAGCGGCTGAAGGGCCGGAAAATCAGCCCCCCCAGGTGAGATTCCCAACGTTTTCATCCCAAATCCCAGCATTTATCCCCCCCAAATCCCACCTTTTCCGTCCCAAATCCCGTTTTTTATCCTGAATCCCACCGTTTTCCCCCCCAGTCCCAACTTTTCCTTCCCAAATCCCAACTTTTCCTTCCCAAATCCCGTTTTTTATCCTGAATCCCACCGTTTTCCCCCCCAGTCCCAACTTTTCCTTCCCAAATCCCAAGGAAAAATGTGGTT